CATCAATTAAAAAAATGTTCTTATTCGTCAATAGCAAATAATTTTTTAACAGTATTAATATTCGTTATCAATGTTTCTCTTTAATGTTTGTCAATGTTTACTTAATATTTATTTATTTATTTTGTCATCAATAAAAAATATTTACTAAATATTTAACTTTGTTGCATTGTCAATGAAAAATATGCAATTTTCATTATCAATGTTCATTAATATGTAAAAAGTATTTTTTTTTATGTCAATTTGAAAACAATCAATATAAAAAAAATATTTTTTATATTAATTTAAAAAATAACTGATATAAAAAATATTTTTTATATCGTTCTTATAATAATTGATATACAAAATACATTTTACATTTAGCAACAAATATAAAAAATTATGTAATTTTTTATCTTTATTATAGTAAGCTTTAAATGAACATAACTTTTAGTATATAACTCTAATTTATATAAATTATGTTATAGTTTATTTCATATAATTTTTTAAGATTTATTTAACTTAGATAATCATACGGAGTTTGAATAAATTTTTTTAAAAAAAATTTCAACATTTTTTTTATTTTTTTAATATTTTATTATAATGGTTCAAGAAACAACTTATGTTTTACATCGATTATTTAAGTAATACAAATACTTTACATTTCACTCTATTCTAACATTTTTTACATATGTAGCACTTCAAATTTGTCCTAAAAAAAACGATACTTGTGAATGTGTTAAGATAAGATGTATTGTTTATGTAACTTTAGTTTTATTTTTTTTTATTTTTTGTAAATAAGTGGTGATGCTCTAGATAAATATTTTTTATTTGCTTTATTTAGAGAAATTATTTTTAAATTTGCCATATTTCTTTTTTAAAAAGCCTCCCATGGATGTAAAATCTAACATCAGAAGTGTAATCTACATGTTGCTTTGCTTAAACCGTAAAGTTCACAACAATTAATGTTTGATGTTGAATAGTCTTTGTGCCTTTTTTCAGCGGCAAAGGTTGACGACTCATTTATTGGCTTCTCAGGACCCATTTTCTAGTAAAATTGATTATTAAGTTGTTAATTAGAACAAAAAAATTAAGAAAAAAAAAGATAGAAGAGGCACGAGTGCCTCTTGTACGTAGTTCAAATATTGCATTAATAATTAATTTCCATTTTACAAAATAATATATAAATTAATAATGCTACGTATAATTTCATCCTATAATAATAAAATTATTTTGACATTTATTATTAATATATTCATTTATAAATTCATACCTAAATGTTTTATTTATTTGTTTATTTTTTAGTTTACATTTAACATGAGTAATATTAACACTAAAAAGTTCTTATAATAAAAAAGATTTCACAATATATTATTATTTGATGTTATAATTAATATATTTTCAAGTTCTTTTTTTTTTAATTTTAGTTTGTACTTGCTTTTCTGTCACCAAATTTTTAACTATTTCATCTTAGCTATTCATTTATACTATTGCTTAATTAAGGACCTTTTTTTTAAAGGAGAATTGATTTATTTTTAAAATATTACTCATGAATATTTCTAAATATAATATTTAATTTGTTTATTTACTTAACTATTTAATGTATATTGCAATTATATAGTCATTACTTGAGTAAATATGGTTTGAGTGACATATTAACGATAGTTTTAACCTATGTTTAACATTAATATATATTCTATCAAGTATATATCAAATAATATTAAAAACTTATTTGGCTGATAAGATGAAATAAGGATAGAAAGATCTTTCACTAATAATGTTAGTAATAACACACTCTTTGTATATCTTTTATTATGAACTTAAATTTATTAAAAATTATATATTTACTTTTTTCTTATTTTTAAAGTAATATTTTTTATTTTTCAATAAATTTTAATTAATAATAAAGGGTGTGTTAAGAAATACGTTGCTATCTTCCTCTTCAATTAATTGCTTTTTAAGCTGTAGAAATAAATGAGCAGTTGTTACTTGTATTGGACGTGACAAAGCAATTAATATTATCACGGAGACATCTGAAGCGATTAAACGACAGAACAAGGGAAAATGTAGGGAAGAATTAGTCTACAGACATCACATGCACGAATCTAAAGTTAGACAATTGGATGCATGAAGAATAGTCAGCGACGGGATGATCACAACGAAGGTTCGAATATATGCTTTCATCTCTATAAATACCACTTCTTCTGGTGTTACACTTCCATCCTCAAACTTGCAATTAGCTACATTTAGATATCCACACATTTTGCTAGAAATGGCCCTCCTTCGTCCCTCCAAATTAGTGTCATTTGTTGCTCTTTTAGCATTACTTTTACTGCTCATGTCTTCTACGCTGGGAATCGCTGCCCAACCCAACACTCAACTTGGTATGTTGCTGTTTTTTTTCCAATGTTTATATAAAGGCAAATACTAATTTTAATTACTGTTGCTGCTTAATTTATATTTACATAACTTTAATGCATCTCTAAAATAGTTTTTGATACTTTTATTTATTGATTAATTTCTTAATTAGTATCTTAACAACTGCCAGTACATTTTACGTAGAAGTTAGAATCATATACTGAACCATATATATTGATACTGAATAGAATTTTGTTGACCTTACCCTTTAAGATTAAGTTTAACCATCTGTAATAGCATTTTTTTTATTCAAAAAACATATTTATTATATTGAAGTAATAAAAATATGATAAATACTTTTTTTTTAATTTATATATATATTTATTATTTCTTCTTTTTTGAGTAATTTGTTCACTTTTTATACAATGCAGGGCGAAGACTTCTCCAACTTGAAGGTTATGGTCCTTATCCTGGTGGTGGAGGATATGGCTCACCACCAGGTAGAGTATATAACTCATTACCATAAGAAAATTATCAACCATGAAGGGGAAATTAAGCTATAGAAAACATCCAGTCTACCCAGAATTGCACTGGCTAAATAAGAGATGTTGGTGCCTTTAATATTATGATTTTATATGAGTGATACAAATTACTTTTATATGTTACTGCTAGAAATAATGTAGCATGTACTACTGTTAGCGACAAGTATTAATTGCAATGAATAAAATTATGTGGGTAAGTTTGCAAATTTGCATCTTCAAGAATTTCAATAGAACCCAAAAGAAAGATCATGATACAGACAGAAGTAACGATTGCAATCGTGTGACAATGGTATTTAATCTAAACACATTAACTGCTCTTAATTTTTTTATGAGAAGGAACGATGTTAACCGTGCCTATATAGCTATGCCTTAATAGCAAAAGACAGTTCATCAGCCTTTTCAACGATTCTATTGTTCTATACTCTTCATGAAATTTCATTTAAGTTAGAATTAAAAATCTTAAGTTTAATTAAAAACTTTGTGACAAGACATATGTAATTAAAAAGGAAAGGAGAGATAAAAGCAAGGCCAAAATTGAAAGAAAATGAAAAAACAAATCTATAGAAGTCTCCTATTATCTCCTATAGACTGCAACTTTGCCGTGGTTAAATCCTCCATTAATAATAATAACTAACTTATTAAAATAATTAATTTTTTAAATAATGATTGTGGTTTTTTTCTCTCTCATCTTTCCTCTTCTTTTATACATTCCTAATTTAATTTTTGTGTAATCTCTTTTATGCTAATGTCATTTATTATTCTTTAAAAAATGAGAGAAATTATAGGAAAGTGAAAAAAAAATGAATAAAAAAAGTTAGAACATGTTTATTTTATTTTTTTAAAATATAATATAATAAAAATTTGTATTACATTATATTTTTAAAAATAAAAAAACTATTTTAAAAAAAAACATACTCTTAATTATTATCATTAAAAAAATTAAATTAGTTGGTTGGTTTTATTAATGGAGCTTAACTTCTATAGAGCTAGATAGAAAAACAGTTTTTATAAGAATATAATTGAAATGCATTAATAACGTTAAAAAAAAAACTTATACCATTATTTATTCATAAATTGCTATGTTATTAAAAATAGGTTATTTTTATAATAATTACTTTAAAATTTATATTCATAATAATTTTAATTAATTGACAGTAATTTCTTTTGCATGCATCAAAATAAAATTTTTCTATAAACATGCATACAAATATATATATATATATATATATATATATATATAATATGTTATTAATGTGAAACAATTTACTATTCGCCAAGCTTATGGCGCGAGCACAAAACACACTGCCATCCCATATCATCATTAAAATTCAGAAATCAGTGACGTAATTGAAAAATTTAAAATCCATCGTGAGAATTTAGACAGGCGTTTTACGTGGAACCGTTGGTTCCGAAAAGGCCAAATCTGTTCAGCGGAGCATTCGATAACTCTCACGATTCTCTTCACCTCCAATATCACTTCAAGACAATGTTTAAGGATATTTTTATTATTTGTGTAAGAAATATTTATTTTAAAAAAAAATTAAAGTCAGTTAATTATGTTTGGCGAAAATTTTACCTTGTTTTTATTTTTATTTAGTGAAAAGCAAGTTTTATACATTATTTTTTATGTCATTTTTTAAAATATTTTTCGTGTCTTCTAAGCTGGCAACTTTTGGACGAGGAAAAGAGAAAGAAAAGAATAAATTCTAAAAGTTAGCCCAAGACTCGGATAAATGAATTCAAATTGTGAGCAAACGGGTTTAAACGTAATAATAGTCGGTAGCCAATTAGCCTAATTAGAATAATTTTATCTAATAACCACTCCAATTCGAGGGTTAATTATGTCCGTTAAAATTCCCAATTTAGAAATAAAGAACAATTACAATTTAGATTTGATTGCAAATTCCATTAGGACCAAGTTGTGTTAACTCCTTCGTCCTTATTCAGGATGTGAAATCACTTCAGAAGATCATTCCCGAAAGTAAGAGAAAAAAAGATGAAAACAAATTGTAAAGGCTAAGTGTTGGGTCCAGAACTTTCATAATTCCTCTCAAACTATCAAGACCCTTCTCCAGCTTTCACCTCCACTTTCTATATATTAAGAATTCTCAGTTCTCTACCCACATCAACACTACAAATTAATCCTCACTACTCTCCTAATTGACTAAAGCCACTTTTATTTCCTCTTATCCAAATGGCTCAAGCACTTTCAACTTCATCACCCCTGCTTTCACCAAAAACAGGGTACTCTGTTAAACCGCAGAACAATGTTGTTGCACCCTGCATCGCCTCTTTTTCGTGTAGGAAGCAATTGCCAAGGGTAGCAAGGGTGAGAGCTCAGGCTTCTGGAGATAACAAAGATAACTCTCTGGAGGTACAACATGTTAACAAGGGTGAACAAGGGACTGCAGTTGAGAGAAAGCCACGTAGATTTGCCATGGACATTTCACCATTTGGTATGTTTTCACAAACAATACACACTAATGTAGTATCTTCATTAAAATTGCAGTATTGATCAATGCATCCTTTTGCTATATAGCCTTACATGGTTCATTCAGTGCGGTTTCTTAAATATTTTTGGTGGTTCTTTAAATAGCAATTTAAGTCAACTTTAAATGTTAATTTTTATCGTACAAATTATGGAGGTAAATTTTAATTACAAAATAATGTCAAATGATTCAAAACTGTCCAAGTAACTGCACTTAATTTCTGTATTTTACTAAAATATACCCCTTAAACACACTGTTATTAACTTATTGCAAAATTAAATTTTTCGTATAATGAATTGAAATCGGTTCAGTGATTCTTAAATGATTTTCGTGCTGATTGTGATTCTGTTATTAGTGATGCTTCACAAATATTGTAGTTGTTGCTGTTGTCATATATTCCACCATTGCCACTAATTTTCCATATTCGTTTTTATTTCTCCCTATTAATTGGATAGCTTTGCGCCCAAGTTTGGAATGATAAAGGAAAGAAAAACTTTTTGACACTTACAAATAACTTGGCTTCAGGTATTGGTATAATCCTTTTGGTTTGATTCTGTTGTTCATTTTTGACAAACGAAATGAAAATGAAAACGACCAGTGACTATGCTTCATAATCATAACCAAACTCAAGGTTTGAAGCTGAAGCCAGAAACCATGACAAGCATTACGGAGTGGGAAAAAAATCCTAGATATGTCAATTTCTGTAGATACCCAAAACTTAAGCAAATTCAAAGAAAAAGAATATAGTTTTTAATGTTTAAAATTCAAGTGATTCATTAAAAATTTATAACACCTACCTTTGAATAACGAAAAGTGAAAAGGGATGGACCATGAATGGTAGCTACGTTTACCTGAACTTGCTTCCAGCATAGTTAAACATTACACTAACTTGTAGTGTGGCCTATTGCAGGACTCTTGGACCCTTGGTCACCCATGAGAAGCATGCGCCAGATAATGGACACGATGGATCGAATTTTCGAAGATACCGTATCATTCCCTGGAAGAAACCTTGGAGGAGGGGAGATCCGTGCCCCTTGGGAAATCAAAGACGAAGAACATGAAATCAAAATGAGGTTTGACATGCCGGGTCTTTCTAAGGAAGATGTCAAGGTATCAGTCGAGGATGATGTGCTTGTTATAAAAGGTGATCATAAGAGTGAACATGGTGGAGATGATTCTTGGTCAAGCAGAAGCCATAGTTCCTATGATACCCGTTTGAAGCTTCCGGATAATTGTGAGAAGGACAAGGTTAAGGCTGAGTTAAAAAATGGTGTGCTTTATATCACTATTCCTAAGACCAAGGTTGAACGCAAGGTTGTTGATGTGGAAATTCAGTGAGATGCTAACTAGTTTGTACAGTATCCTTTTGGAATGTTTTTAATTCTTAATATGCTGTGATAAGTGTAGAAAAAAAAAATGAAATAATTTGCTGCTATGTAATTTTATTTTCTTGAGCTGTCAGTTTCTTTCTCATGTTTCATTAAATGAAAAGTGTGTTTCTATTTATTCAACTGTGTTTGGAGCATCAATTTGATTGATCATAACCTCCAAGGAGATGTAAAACGGAACTAATCCTCAAATATTATGAGTATTTTTTTAATTGGGAATTCAATCGCCTAACCTCTATTCGAAGTTATTAACAAACACACACAGAACTAATCCGTGACAAAAAGCTAATAAGAAACCAGCCAATGCAAAGTGAATGTGAAATTGGAAATTAACCTTAACTAACTATTTATACTAGGTTCTATGTCTGCCTTCACATTCTTCATTTCTTTCAGTTCTTACAGTCCAACTACCTCATAAAATAAAGCATTAAAACAGCAACCATGCTACCTCAGAAAAAGAAGGAACAATACAAAAAGGAAGAAGGGAAAGGAAAGGTCAAAATGAAAAAGCGACAAGTATACTTTTATATACTATATGTTACTCATTTTCTTCAGGTATAGAGTCCAACTTTGGCTTGCCATTGCTTGGCAAATTAACACTAACTGTTTGAACCTCTGAGAGTATATCCTCTACGGAGATCTGTTTGGTCACTAACTGCTCAAGCTGCTGCTTAGTTATTATAACTTTGATCCTCTTTATTCCACCACCTGTCTCTCCCTTCATCAAAGTTGAAAGATTTGGAGGGGAATGCAAAGAGGGAAGCAAGTAGTACAATCTTCCTGCCTTTAATTCATGATCTGGGAAGAGAGGCTTTGTGGCTTTCTTTGATACACCAATACCATAAGTTGGAAAATTTGTCAAGATATCTTTGACATGGATTGGGGAGCTAAACTCTAGTACCTTACCATCTGGTTTGGCTACCCTCACAGCTTTAACATGCTTTGTCATGGCAAGACAATTGCCCATTTTATTCTAATGAAATGATGAAGAAGTATATGAATGCTTCAAGATGGTGAGATGTTTGATAGCTATAGAGATAACTGCATGGAGTAAAATGATATGTGAAATGTTAGCCTGTGTGTGTGAGAGAGAAAGAGAAAGCTGGGAAAGGAAGAAGAAGTTTGAGTGGAAAATGTAAGCTTTTGCGGTTTTAAGGGAAAGCAAGCGAGATATATAGTGAGGTGAGTTAAAAAAAAATAGAAGGGTTTGTTTCGTGTGGAGTGGAGTAGAAAGGAGCCTTTCTGTTGAGTAGAAAACTTATGGATTAGGGAAAGAAAGAAATAATATGTGAAAAAAAAATGTTGAGAATGGAAAATTAAAGATTTGTCAACACGCATGCAGCATAGGTCGGTTAGTGGAAAGTGGCGCAATTGCATTGCCCATTCAACTATTTATTGAGTCCCTCCACCCCTATGGATGCAACTATACTCCTATGTGCATATGTATGGTTGTGCCATAATAAACAGTCCTATATGCACTTCAAAAATGGTACAAGTGGCCTTGTGTGATTGGATGGGCATGCTGCTAGCATTGCTTTTGGAATAAACTAGCATGTCCCAATTAAGTGGGGGAAAAAATCTACTAGAACCAGGATATAATGGCGAGGGATATTTTTGTTCCTTCATATTTTATGAATGAGGTTTCTTATTTTGAACCTCATATATGATCATGTTTATTTATTCTTTTTGGATTGCATCACCTCATGCTTTAGGTGACGTCCAAGACAATTTTTTTGAAAAATACCCAAATTTCCTCTTACTTGCTCTATGCTATTATTGTCCTACACTGATATACAGACACAACAACGCAACACAACAAAGGGATGCAACAACGAAACCCCATTTTCCTTTTGGCTTTCGGTTGGAAGGAAAGGAGGGTTTGGAATTGGATAGTTGAATGAGAAGAGATCAATAATAATCTAATGATTCATGCTGGGGCGGTGACGTAACAAATGTAGTTTATACGATCATTGATATGGTTCAGGTAATACAAGGTCCAAGAGTTAAGGTAGGTTGTACTTTGATTTATACATTTGTTTATATTCGTTTGTAGAAAAATATAATTTAGTTAACCTCCCAACTGCTAACTGCTATTTGTTTGTTTCTCATCAGTGCTTAATAAATAATATCACCGTATTTCATGCTGACTTTTAAATGTAACCGTAGCTATAGTATTGGATTGGGTGGGTTGCAATTCATATTATCATATATAAATTTTTTTTTACATACTTTAATTTAATTTTGTTTCGTCACATCATCTATTTTATTTTATACTTTTCTATCTATTTTGTGCTTATACGTTATTATAAAACTTTATTTTATAAATAAATTATTCATATAATTATATAAATAATCTTACTCTTTTTAGTCTTCCAACAATTTTCTCACACCCTTTGGGCGTTACTTGCTGAAAATACTGAGGGCACTTCAACATGCAAGTGCTCTCTCGATCTTATATGCAATACATATAAAGTTTAATGATCAAAATCTTGTAGAAAATATATTAGAAAAAATATTGTGAAAAAAAAAAGTGTATTTAATAAACAGCTTAAACAAATGTTTATACAATAACTTTTATTGCATAGGAACTTATATTACAAATTTGATTATAAAATTGATTAAAGTAAGTTAAAAAAATAATTTATTTTAATAAGTAATTGTTTACATGTTAAAATAAATTTAAAATAACTTGTAAGAGTCATTATATATATATTATAAAATTTTCCAAATCCTTCGTCGGAACCGAACTTTTAGGTTATCTAAAGCTCAATAATCAAAATCTTGTAACAAGTCACATTCCTTCTTTACTTTCCATGAGATTCAACATACAATTGAGAATCTACAGCTACATCTAACCATTAATTGAAAATACCCCATTACCTGTAGTAACTTCCATTAGTTCCATTCAAAATTGAACATATGCATAATTGCATCCTTCCAACTATCCAGATTTAACAGATAATTCTCAGAAGAAGGGAAAAAACCCAAAAGATTGAATAACTAATGCTCCAAAAATGGTAATAGAATCAAGATATTTCCCCTCATTCTTTGTTTTTATCTTCTCTAAATAGATACACAAACCGAAAGTTGAATGCTTCATCGTGCACTTTGCAGTGCACGCATCGTTAAAATCTAAAATTCTACTTAGTGGGAAAATTGAAGAACTAGTGCATCAGAGCCAAGGGTATATAAAATAGTTACATAGGTTTTGCTCACTTGCTAAGTATGCATTTATTAATGGAAGTTCATCGATCAATAAACAAGGCTAGTTGCTTTAAGTGCCCGTAGGTAGTCTTGGGCCCAATTTAAGAATGTCATTGTCAAAGTTGATAAAAAGATGAGACAAAGATCTTCTAAATCCACAAAGCTCCTTTTATTATTAGTATTTTTAAAATTGTTGAATTCCAGCTTACTAACTCCACCAATTTTTTTAATCTTTTGTCCCTTCAGATGCACATCAAACAGACCTAACACCTTCATCAAAGTCCAAGTTCTACTGTTCTATATTCGATAATTAAGTTAGAATAATATAATAAAATGCATTTCTATTCTCCCTGTCACTCTCTCTTTTTAAAAGTGGAAGGCCCACGTCTATTTGAACATAAATGGTTGAGTTAAAGCTACTTAAAAATTATATGACTGTTTTAAGATGTTTTATTACTTTTATATTTTAGTCTTAATTGCTTACATTATTTCTTCCACTTCCACGTAAAAGTATCCCTATCACTTTTGATATATACATTTATGTACTTGTATTCACGAGTAAAAGTAATGTGTGTCAATACAATAACCAGTTTTAATCTGATATGAATTTATAGTATTGATTCTAATTGGGTTAGTTAAAAAAATGACAAATCTTATCCAATTTAACCCAACTTAGTTTAACCGATTTGTATTTTACTTTTTATACTTAACCCAACCTAATTTGTTATCACTCCTATTTTTTTTTTAGACATTTATAATTACCATATTTTCTCTTGAGGTTCGTGCACAAGATACATATAATAAAATGACACTTATATATATATATATATCTTAGTCAAGATTCCAATAGCCTCTTTGTTTGGATCCCAAGTTTAAAAGCAAAATCATAAAATAAAGGAATGGAGGGCCAGTATGCTTGTGGAAAGGACCCTTACTCTCTGTTTTTTTTTCATTTAGAGGCATCCCCTTCAATTTGGACCATGGTCCACATTCCATAGTCCATACCAATGTCATTGCTTGCAAATTTCATATTGATCCCAAAGATTGGAAGAGCAAGATTTCCATGTACCGAATTTTCTTGGTTAGTTTTCGTGGAGCAAAATTTCCACACGCTTCTTTCTCTTTGTTTTGCTTTTCTGTTGGGTATGATTACATTAGGCTCCTCTTGGTTTTTTAGTCCACATTAGGTTCTTCTTGAGCTACTCTTTCCAATGCAATGGGTTGTTAGGAACAAAAGGAGATATTGGCGAGCCAAACCACATCAATAGAACAAGACAAAATAGGAGGGCAGTTAAAAAAAGATTTCCTGCTTTAGAGCCAAACCACCTTAGTTTTACTATGTTTTCTGTGTTTCACGTTGCGTGAGGGACTTTGCAAAGAAATTTAGGGGGTTGTGATATATTATGATGTCTAAAAATGAATTTCCTTACCTTGATAATATGTCAGTAAGACAATCACTTGTATAGATGAAATTCTTGAAACAAATGTTCGCTTTTCCCTCTTCCACCAATGCTTTAGAAATAGGCTGCAGTATTATCCAAAATTTAATGTTTTAAACTAAAAAATACAAAATAATAATAATAATAATCAAAAGATAAACATTTTTGGGGTCCGAATCGAAAGATAAATATTGGGCTTAACAGCTTCTGTCTATTTCTATTTATTTATTTTTGTCAATAATGATGATATCCAAAAAATTTTGGGTCAACATGATAATTTCCAATTGTATGTTTACTTGTGTTCCCAGGGCTATTACAAGAGACCATCATGAACTGGACCATTCACAGATTGCAAACTATGGTTTTATTATATGGGTATAGATTAATATTATGAACACACATTTTGATAAATTTTTTATAATATATATTTTATTATTAGTTAAAATTTATTAAAAACTATAACAATTTAATGAAATTTATTCTTTTACTTTTAAATTAATATTTTTTATTTTTAATAAATTTTAAACAATAATAAAGAGTGCGTTAAAGAAAATGTTGTTAGCATAATATTTTTATACTAAATAATTTTATTAATTGTTAATGTTTTTCTCTCTTTAATTAAATAATTTTGTTTTTTTTTTTAAGGCGTAATATGCTTTTCCAAGTGTATCTAACTATATGTGGATGCTTGATGAAGTTTAAATTAAATTAGACAAAAAAAAGTTATTATGATGATTAGGAAATATCCTGTGTATTGCAAGATATTTGTACATACATGTGAAATATAAAAAAGTATAAATTTTAAAATTAAGGATTGGTTATCTTATTGGTAATAAAAATTTTAAAATAACTATGACATTTTAATTTTTAAATTATGGAACATTATTTAACAATGACCAATAAATATCTCATTATAGCTAATGTTGATTGAAGAAAATTATGTTTTGATCAAAATTATAATATAACTAATTTAAGAATTAAAAATTATTTAATTTGAGATAAATGTTCAAAAGACACATGTCATGATAAAAATACACAGTTGCATATGGAGAGCAAATATAAATGATATCCCATTTGAAAATAGTAACTATTCAAAATTATAATTTATTGACAGATATATGATAATAAATCATTCAGTAATGACAAGCTCAGGGAGAGAGAAAGGAGTTTTCAATTATGAAAAAATTTTACATAACCTTGTGAATAATAACACAAAATGGGTTAACAAGGCTCAATACAATTAATAAATAATTGAATATTTTAGCTATATTGACCAGGGTTTAATTTTTTGCACGAATAAAAATTTGATGAGAAAGATAAAATTCATTTTACTGATTTAAAGTGATAGTCAAGTGAGCGATACCTACATGCCCCAAAAAAATGAAATCAAGATTTGTTTTTGGTCATTGCAATGTATTTTTCAAACAAAATTTCTTACATGTTGTACTGTTCTTGTTATTTTACTTATTTGATCCAAACTATAATTTTATGTTAAAGATATTTAAAATTTTAAATTATAAAAAAAATGCATGCATAATTAATTTAGATAGAATGTAAAATAAAAGTGAATGTTTTAAAATAAAAATAATGGAATTAATTCATAGGAATTTGAATTTAAAATTCAAGCAAAAAAGTTCAAAATGATATTGATCATTCTTTTAGGGAGAGTAGTTTAAAACATGAAAATTCTGTAAATATTTTTTTATTTATATAGAAAAAAACAATTTCAAGATAAGAAAATAAGCTGTGGGTGAAATATGAAAAGAAAAGAGAAGAAAAATTGATATAAAAATAAATTTTTTAGAATAATTAATAGAATACATAGTATAAAAAATTAATGAAAGTTAAATTACGTATTTAAAGTAAAAAAGATAATGTTAGTATAGGATAATAAGATAACTATGGATAAGCAACTGCATCATGCTACAGTTAATAACTCCAGAGGATCCGGTTCCTTCGTAGTTGCTAAGACTTGTGTTTTCTTTCCTTATCTACACCAACAAGATTGTTTCACCTAAAATCATCAATCACATTATATCAAAATCTATAATGAAAATGCGATAAGTGGTTTTTTGACTCTCTGTCTTTGAAGCCTAACCATTAATCTCATTTGTCTCTTTTGCACTCGTCACAGTCTATAAGCATATTATTCAGTCCCCTTGTTCAATTTGAATAAAGAAGTCCACTTGTTACATTTACCACTGAAACACTACAAAATTCTCCTAATTTTTTTATTGACACACATGCATATAAAATTTCTTTTACTCTTCGCAACAGGTGTCTTTTCAGATTAAATTAGATCAATTTAAAAGAGAAAAACCATCTGATTTGATTACATTAACTTTCTTTACCATTCAAATTGCTTGAAAACAACATCCAATCTACAATGATTTGAGTTGTACTGTTTTTATTTTATCAGAGAGTAATAAATAAATCTTATTTTACTTGTTTTATGCATTTTCTACAAAAAGAATATACTACAAAAATCATTATCTGATAAAAAAAAGTACAAGACACAAAATTTTTAATTAATTTTAAACAAATATATATATATATATATCAGTATAATTTAAAGAATAATATGGAAAAATATTATTATTATTATTATTATTATTTTATAAATATATACTTAGATATGTGTGATATGCTAGTTTGATAAAAAAAAGTATACTTATGTACTTAGTTTTTGTTTATATTGGATTAAATTGAGTTTTAAAATTGAATTCAAATTCTGATTTAATTCTATGAGAAAATGATTTTTTATTTCTGATTTTTTTTACTTCAATTTTTTATAATTTAGGTTAGATTGGTTCAATAATAAAGACCAATACTAGGCTTTGCCTTTTGAAATAGAAACTCATAAGTCATACCTAGGATGCTAAAACTAATGAGATTAAAATATATTTTGATTCAAAGAATGCGGTAGGCTAAAACCCATCAAAATCATTTTCACTGCTTTTGTTTTTCTCTCCTTTGATCCAATCAACAAGGCCTCCTCATCATGTGAAAACGAACTTTACAATACACTACTTTTCAAACTAGAAGGTACCCTGAGTGGCTAAGTTTAACCCTAAAGGGGTGACATCTTTTTTTTATCATATAAAAAGTACATTACCTAAAAAGCTAAACCAGATTGGGGTAGACGAAAATTTAACCCTCAAAACCAAAAAGGATAACAAGATCAACAAATGAATGGATAAAAAGGTAAAAATGGGATACAAGTGATACTATATACCATAAAACTTTTTAGTGTACAATAAAGGGCAACTTGATTGCCTCCACGTTCTTTTCTGTTTACAAAAATGGAAATAAGAGGAATTTGATGCTTATAGTTTGGAGGGTCAATGAATTTTCTTTTTCTGCGTGGTCCAAACGCCCCATATGGCCTCTACACATTATTCCACGCAGTAAGCATATTAATATCATATTATTATAATATGGAAAACGAATAAATGGGGATTAAATAAGTGATGGCACAGATGAGAGAAGATAGAAATTTGAATACAACCAGCCACGTATCATTGGACCCATTAAAAGTTTGGAAAGCTTTGATATGGGCAAACATATAAAACGGTAGACCACTACTTTTTACACACTTAATGTATTTATCAAAACACACATTACCATTTGATTTTAGCATTATGTCATATAAAAAATTTGTGTCACCAGATCTATCGGCATCCATAGAGGTGTGTGTTGATCGTTTCGTATAGATAGAGTATGAAAGGCACTCAACAAGGAAATTAAAAAAACATTATAGAAAATATTTACAGTACTATTTGTTTTATTTTACATGTTCCTTCTTTTGTCATTTTGCCAACTTTGTAAGTTAACTAACTCTCCCAAATCATGATATTCATAAATAATTGGATTTTGTTGGGGTAGTTTCCTTTTTCTTTTCTTACCCTTTTTGGTTCTCTCTGTTTCTCTGCTTTTACTTGCTACACATTCAACCCTTCATTACTATTCATTCATTAAGTTTCTTGTTAAGGGAATCTTCGTCGTGGAATCTGAGGAAACATCAGTATGAAAATCAAGGAGTTTTCTTCGCTATAATGAACGAGAATCAGTAGAGCACATGTTGATAGAAGGTTTTTCTCTGGGATTTATTTGATTGATTGTTTACTGTTCATGCTAAACAACCAACCAAACGGCTATTCTGACTTTTTGATCCTTGCTTCTACTCTTGTTTCTGTCTCTTGGTTTATTAGACGGTGTTTAAGTCTTTCTTTCAGGGCTTTGTCAATTGAATTCAGATGTCACAGCCAAGGCAAAACAAGATGATGATGAGTCCAAACGTTGCCAAACAAGTTGGTGACACAACCTATACTAAGATCTTTGTTGGAGGACTGGCTTGGGAGACAAAGAGAGACACCCTTAAACGCTATTTTGATCAGTTTGGGGAGATCTTAGAGGCTGTTGTCATCACTGATAGAAACACTGGAAGATCAAAAGGATATGGCTTTGTAATACCCACTTTAGCACTTGCTATTTACTTATTGGTTTCTTCACTCCTTTCACTTCAATTTCTGCTTTTTTTTCTTTCTTAGGTGACCTTCAAGGACCCAAATTCTGCAATAAGAGCTTGCCAGAATCCCTATCCTGTGATTGATGGAAGGAGAGCTAACTGTAATCTTGCATCCTTTGGAGCCCAAAAATTTAATCCATCTATAACAGGTCAAGCCTTTCACTTTCTTTGTTTTAATTCTAACTTCATAATGATTTTATAAAAATGACCTATGTTCCTTGCATGCAAACATATTCATAGTTTAGTAAGGTTGAACACTTTGACTCATCTTACTGTGTCCTTTTCCTACTTTCAGATGTTTCAGGAAGGCAAAAATTCAGTAGCCCTTCATGGAATACAGCACCAATCCAATTTCAAGGCACCTCCTCCACTTACTATAATCAGCACATACCACAGTATCCATTTCCGTATCCAGCTTATAGGTATGCAATTCAAACATGTAAGAGTAAGATGTTTTATATTTTGACAAATTTATTTAGCAATTCATCATATTCTAAATAAAAGTTTCAATCCAACATTCAGGTATCCTAGTTATCCTCCCCCACAAGACTTATATGAAATGGTTAGTTTGCTCCTATACCAGCTTTGGATTACTAAATTTTATAAAGCTACATATGACCAAAATTTATATCCGTCTGCTAGAAAGCTACATGTGACCAAATTTTATAAAATCGTTGTTGTTCACATAGGGAGCTATTTATATACATTATATAAGGATGGATTAAACTTTATTCTCACAACTTTTCAATTTGAATTTTGTTATTCTCTACAGAACTACAATAATGTATATAGTGGACAGCAGCTTCCATTCCGCTGGTTTCCAGCATATTGCCAACCCTTCTATGGCCTTAATAGACAGTTTATTCCAACAGCATATCTGAAAAAGGCACAATTCCCTGACATGTCACCTCAAGAGTTCACAGTTGTTGGCTTATCAGAACCAGTTCCAGCTTCTCCTTCAATTTCTAGCACTGGTTCAGTATCTAAAGTCTAAACAATGCTATAATTTTGTTCTGACTAAAATATCCAAATCTTGAACTAATTTTTAAGGTGGTTGTGCATTGAATGAAAACAGGACTAGTCACAGGAACAGTGCCTGCAACAGGAGTGTTAGAATCCCCCCAAGAACAGAAATCCTCAACTTAAGCTTGTGATACTACATCAGAGAAAGGAAAAAGAAATATGACACTGCTCAATAAATTAACCAGAAAGGTCTAAGAACATGCCCAATGAGGTGGTCTAGCAAAGTAACTAAATCAAGCAATAACGTGTTGAGGTTTTCCATCCATTGAACAGGTGATCTTAGAGACCAAACACTGATGAAATGAGTCGTGGATTTGTTCGTTGTCTTGAATTTTCACTTTCGAGAATTCTAATGCACAGCATTCATTCTTCAATTTTCCTTTTTTTTTTTTCTTTTTTAACATGGGATTTTTTTAATATAACTAATTCATTACTTGGTTCCTCGATCATAGCAAATCTATTTCATTTTAGCCGAATTAAAACTCAGTTTTGGAAATGTTTTTCTTCGAAATCATTCCTTAAAGATTGACAATGTATGCTAAAAGTCCAACAATTGCATCATGTATTCAAATTCGGTTCATTAGACTAAAAAAGCACTGACACATTATTAATTTATAATTAAATATAATAATTAATCATTTGCGGAGACAAATAATTATTTTATGTGAATTTTCAGAACTGTAGAATATGTAAATTGACGCGCCTTTAAACCGGATTTTGTAAATTATGACAAGATCCACCGATAAAAACCCAGTTAGAATTTTTGATGTTCCTCTTTTTCCTCATATTATTTCGTCATGTAAAAAAAGTCAGAGAAAGAAGGGAATAATTTATACACTTAAATTAATCAATTTGAAAGCAAAGTTTAGCGAAACTTTATCTATAGTATACGTGGATTATATTGACTTGGTGATTTTCTATATAAAGTAAACGAGAGCCTCCCTTTACAAATGCTAACTCTGCAGCTAACGTACCTCGTTTCGTTATCCACTTTCACAACAGCGACGGCAAAAATAGTTGCTCATAACGTATAATGGTAAGGCTATATTAGTGGATGATTGGGTGGAGAATAACTTTAGGAAATTATTTTTTTGTTTTTCTCTAAGATGTTGAAAAAACAATTCTATTTTAAAATAGACTGATTTAAATACACATTAAAAGTATTATCAAACATAATCACATTTTTGGATTTGATTTAAAAAAGGTTAAACAGATTAACTTTGTTATCAATTCAAAATGTTAATTTAACTTAAAAAAAAGATCCCATCTTAAAAATTTACTTTAAACTTAAATTATACGCAAAATTGACTTGGAGATAAGTTTCTCTACCCTCCATGCCTAACCAAATAATTATGAAGACGTGTGTTTGGTGGGTCATTCTAATCTTAATCAGCATTTGAATACTAAATTTACTTTCGGAAAACGTTTGCTCGTAGCAACGATATATACACGATCAGTCATCTTAATTAAATCATCAATTGAGAACTAAACACTACATTCACAAAACATTTGCTTGTAGCTTAAGGAGTTATATACCTTCTTTGCCCGACCAAATAATGACTAAGACATATACTCTCGATTATCAATCGAGCATTGTTACAAATCAGCAAAGCCAGTTATACCCACTGATTTGGTCCATAAATGTGAAAGGTCAACTATTGATGAATATTTATGGCATTAATCTGAACAAGGAGGAAGTGAAAAAATTATTGAGTGATTTAGAATTATGCTATTCTAGTTACTTATATTATTTTATGTATATAAATATTATAATTTATTAAAAACTAAATAAATATCACAATATGAATGATCGAGAGTACATAGTTTTAAAAAAAAATCGAGAAAGTAGTATGATCGCTAAAGAAAAGAAGAATTTTAAACTTCAGCACAAGAAATCACTATTATCTTAGGTTGAAATTTCAGAGATATTGTGTGAACAGTCTCCATACCACGTAAAACCCAATAACTTTGTAAACTTACTTTCCAACAAATACTTGAAATGTAAAAATATAAATAAAAATATATATTTTTAGAAAATAAATAAAATATATTTTTACAAACAATTAACTTCTCTTTGCAATAGAATGTAAAATGTTTCATAAATTTATCATCTATTTTTTCTTTAGTAACATTCTCAGCATAAATACACTGCGTGTCCTTAAACTTAATTGATTGAGTTCATACTAATACGTGTTTGTTCAAATGGAGGAGGCACATATCGTTAAATTTGTGGTTTTGAATTCAATTTCAAAATTTGTGTATATATAAAATATTGTTAAAAAATCATTTTAATATCTAACCAATAATTATATTGTACTAGATAGGATACTATTTGGTCTTATCTCTAGGAAAAGGTAACAGAGTACCCCTTCGGTGTAATATAGTTGAATATTCTTTGTCAGATTAAAAGGTAATTAATCCAATTAAGGGTAATAATCAAAATATTATTTACTTTAATTAAAGGGTCCAAACTAAGGCTGACTCAACAAGTTCATTAGCCTATAACAATACCTATAAAAAGAAGGTAGGAAATACAGGTAAAAGATTGACTTTTCAATATAAAATAGTATTTATTGCTCAGAACTAAATCCTGACTTCAGCATCGGAGTGCCTTTTTGCAGGTACTCTTCCCACGTCAGGCCACATCATCAACAGTTAGAAGGACGTCACTGTTTTAGAGTAAAGATCTAAAGACTAGTATTTCTCTAATAGGAACATATATGAAGAGATTAGTCTCTCTCCATAGAAAGATTTGGAAAAGAAAATTAGCTGGCTACAGGTCAATGTAAAGAGCAAGTACAATTTTAATATATATATAATTTGTAAAAATATTTTAGTTATTGTTAAAATTTATTGAAAAATATAAAAGTATAAAAAAATAATTAAATTAGTAGTAAAAAAGAGTGAAATTTATATTTTTTCTTGAAAAAAATTTTGATTAATAAATAAGAGTATGTTAAAAATTATGTTGGTAGTATTTCTCTTTTTTAAATCCAAGCAGGTTCAACATTTATGTATGTGCTGTTTATTTATTTGTTTCGAACGGTAAAACACACTTTCGATTGCAATTTTTACCAAAATCACTAATTTTTTAATTCTCTTGAAACGGAGTTACAGCACTCTTCCAACAAGCTCGTAATGGGTTAAGTCAAAATCAGTTTGGATCCAACTTTTAACTTCCAAAACGACTATCCTCCTGTTCAGTGGACATGCCTGGCCACATGTTTTTGTTAAAGTGGGTTTTGTCTAAATTCACACACTGGTTGTCAATTTTTATTCAAAGAGAGAAAAATTATAACAGAAGAAGGAAATTGTTCAGCTAGAAATAAAACCATAGATGAGAAATTCTTAAATATTCAAAGAGTAAGAAACTGTTGTTGCCCTGAACTATATAATGTGTACTATTTTAACTATGTGGATCACCGTTATTTTTAATAACATTATAATTAAAATAATATAGAACAATTACTATTTCCTTTTCCAATGAGACTATTCTCTTAGTATGCACTCGTAAATATGACTGGTAAATGGTAACTGGGAAGTCGTACAAACCATAAAGAGTGGGAAGGAACTCTTTCCCTAATGAAAATAAACTGCTATGGAATTATTTTTTAGTAAAGACGTTGCCTCTTTGAATATATGCACAATACTTTTTGTTAATTAGAAACACTTAAGTTTTGTTAATTAGAAAACCTACCAATGATATATGCACAATATTTTTTTTCTTTTGAGACCATTTAGCTGAAAATTCCTCCCCCATCAAAAAGGAAATGCAGAAATAATAAAGGACAAAAGAGAGATGACAAAGGACAAGATCATGTCACATGCACTTAAATCACACACATATTCTTTCGTATCTACTTAATTTTTATAATTTGATTACATTTGGTACCATCATGTTTTTCACACACTTGTATTCTCGCTTTATCATCAAGTCACAAGGGATATAAGGATGTGGACTGGGCATTTTACCTGAGGAATACCTAAGGATTCTGGTTTGAAATCTTAGAAGAAAAGAATATGATAGGGAAAAAAGGTGGAGGAATTTCACATTCTTTGATTAGTATGAGAAAAAGAAAAAGAAAAAGATAATGGAATCTGAAAGTGCAATGCTAACTTCTTTTTATTAAGAAAAATAAACTTTTCTTCCTTTGTCTGGTTTTATTAAGAAACCCAATTCGGGTGGGCATTGCGCCTCCACATTGCCCCCGACAAAAATTGCAATGCTAACTTCTTTTCTTTTCTTTATGACATTATATGATTTATGTAACTCGCCCTACCTTGTAAAACAAGCTTTATGTGTTGTCATTTCTTTTCTTCCGGGCAAAAAGGTTAGAGAGAGAGAGAGAGAGAGCATTGCCACATTCTTAGATCAAAGCACTCCATAAAACTCAGTAGAAACTTGGCTATTTAGAAATAACCTTTTAGTGAAAAAACCGCTAATAGAAATCAAACACAAGAACTACTATAATGGACATGTTATGGAGATGAACAATCTGTGGCTGGAAACACAAAATCATACCACCACAGCTTAGAGTTCCAATTGCACTCTAAGCCTGTAGAGTAGCAACGTGGGTCTGCCGTGGCACATTTTGTAAAAGTGGGCTAGCCCACTTAAAAGAGATGGGTTGAGGGCAGCTCGCTTAAAATTAATAAAAAAGATAAAAATAATTAAAAATAATTTTATATTAACAAATTTTAATATTTAATTAATAAATATTTATATATTATTTTTAAAATATAAAAGCATTTTAAGAAACCGGTTTGTTTAAGTTCGCATTTTAACAGGCTAAAGTGAAACAAATTAAGCTAGTCTGATTACCCATTTTGATAGATTATGTAGACCAGATAGTCCTCTTTGTCATTGGTCTCAACCTTGAATGAAAGAGGACAAAAAAAAATCTTAATAACTAAAGAAAGAAAGACACTTTTTTTGAATGGTCAAAATTAAAAGAAAAGTATGCATAATTTTTTTAAGTGATCATGTATACTAGCTTTTAATTTTTACCATTCAAGTATATTTATATGATTCAGATTTACAATTAATAATAACTAAGTCTTATTTCATTACATTTGAATTTATAATTTTCAGAAAATTAAAATGAGAATTGTTTTCACTGGTTATGTAGTTGTAGCAGAAGAAACACAAAAAAGGCCAAGCAGTTCCTCTGGCAAGATTATAAGTAAGAAGAGATCAAATCCTAAACTGCCTTCTTGTCAATATTTGTGCAATAAATTTTTCTTGAACACATCTCCCTATCTTCTTCAGACACAGAAATATAGCACCATTAAAATGGTAAGACAAAAAAGAGATGCATTATCAGCTGACACGCGTCAATCATCTCCTAAATGTAATAATAGACATCTCTAACAAAGAAACCCCTGGGCAAGAATGTTGGATTAACAGGTGCAATGACAGTCTTTTAAGGTAGCATTCTCAAAATG